GAGGCCGTTCCCAAAAAAAAAAAAAAAAAAAAAAAAAAGACTAAACTCAGCATATTCCAAGGTGGTTTCCATCAGAAAAAGAGGAAATCAACTGTGTATGCATTTCAAGAACAAAATGCTTTAAAAAAAATAAAAAATAAAAAATATTCCAATAATGATAGGCTTTGCTTCACTCAGAGCGAGTAGGAGCACTTGGTTTTGTTCCTGGTTGATCTGCATATTTGCTGGTGACACTATTCAAGAAAAAATTGATCAAACACTAGTGTCTACAGTCATCTTAGGAAGAAATTGCGGAACATCAGTAACAACCAAAAAAAACAAAAAAAAAAAAAAAAAAAAAAAAAAAAGGTGGGGGGGATCCACACATTCTCTCTTACAAGTTCAACATCCTTACATTTTTAAAAACAAATAAACTGCCACTTTAAAAAAGGAAGATGAAAATCTCCCTTTCCAACACACCAACAATAAATAAAAAAAAGAGGGCAGGGGGCGAGGGAATGGGCAAAGTAATATAGCAGCATGGCACATTGGTATGTCTGGAGTTTTATTGCGTATCTGAGCTTCACCTTTTCATTAGATATCAGTCTACAAGTACAAAATGAAGGCTAACAGAGGACTTAAGGTCTTTTCATGCAATAATCACCTTTATTCAAACAGTGAATGGAGTCATTGACAGAGCCTGTGTGTTCACGAAATGTTCAATGACTAACTGAATGAATGGTGAAAACGGAGTTGGAAATGAAAATGGTAGAGGATTTCTCTAAATTCGCTACAGAACCTTGAAATGGACCTCTGGCAGTTCCTTATATTGCAGGTCAAAAGGGGATGAAACATGAGGAAATGAAAAGGGGGAGGAAATATGATTATGCAACTAATTCCTGTTTTCCTGAGAGGCCAAGTACAAAAGTTGTGCTGCACTGCTCCGTCTCCCTGAAAAAGGCTAAACTTTCCAGTGAGAGGACAAAACGGAAATGTAAAACACCAATGAACTGACATAGAATGAGTCTTTCTGCTTTAAAATATACTTTGGTTACTCATTCAGAGAGGTTTCTGCTGAAAACACTGCGGAGATTCGCGTTTGGCAGAAAAATAAGTGTTACACAGTGGAGTGAAATTGGTAAATGAGGTCCTTGATAAATAAATTCAGACTAGAGAAACCCCACACAACATGGCTGCAATTTCTTCCCTGGATAACTTGAATAATAAGTCATTTGCCACTTAAGTCCCAGCAACACTTACATAGTCTCAGTCTGCCATCAATATCACTTTGAGAGTGAGAAATAAGTCTCAAATATGGCATAAGTACAAATCGAATGATTCGGCCACTGGGGGTCAGCCATGTGAGCTCAAAGGCAAAGAGCAGAATGTTTTTCCTGATGCTTAGAAATTAAATGGCTTAGGTGGGGTCCAGCTTTAGATGAACGAAAGCAACTTGAGTCCTTTGGTTCCCGAGGTTTTACGTAAACATTGTTATATTGACAGATTCCTGGGACTCCGACGTCAACAAGTCTTTTTCCTGGCCACAACAAGCTTTTTACCCAATCAAAACTGTTTGCAGGGGCCTTTGAGGTGCTTTAAGTGCTACAAACATGAGAGTACTTCTCACAAGAGCTTAGAGCCCACAAAGTAAGTGGGCAGAGAGGTCAAGATGTCAACGCACTGCCTAGTTGAAGATTCTGATAGAGTGTCATCAATAGTCGTCAGTGGAGAGCGGAGGCTGGAAAACGTGGTAGAGATCAGGCACAGTCACCTACTATCACAAGCGGGGCGAGGAGCTGGCGTAGTTCAGCAGCGCACACCGGCCCTCGGTGCTGGCTGCCTGCGGTCTCCCTGCGGAGGGCCAGCTTGGACCTGGAGGAAGGAGACAGCAGCATGGAGCCGGAGCTGGAGGAGAGGAGAAGCGGGGAGAAAAGCTCCTTCTCTAACTGCTGCTGCTGCTCCTCACTCTCTTCCCTCTCAGCCAGCTGCCGGTTCATGGCTACGGCCTGCCCCGCAAAGAACGTCAGGTCCTGAGCGCTACCACCCCTGAAGAAAAAACATAGAATGTAAGGATGGCATGATTAACAGTCTGCTATTCTCGGTCAAAGCTATTGCTGCTGAAATTTATAAATGCATCACTAAGCCCCCAATATACTTCAAGCCAAATTGAAGAACAAACTGGCATGGCGTAATTTCCAACAACAACAAGGTAAAACAGGGTTCGCTTGTGAAAGCGAACTTTCTGAAAAGTTTGCTCTGGCGGGGTAAACCACTTTGAACTACAGTTCCATTGCTCCATGGCAATTTCTTAAAAGGATAGTTCACTCAAAAATGAAAGATCTGTCATTAATTCCTCACCCTCATGTCATTCCAAACCTGCAAGAACTTCGTTCATCGGAACACAAATTAAGATATTTTTGATGAAATCCAAGAGCTTTCTGACCCTGCATAGACAGCAATGTAACTGAAATGTTCCCAGGCCCAGAAACGCTGTAAGGACATCTTTAAAATAGTCCATATGGCATCAGCGTTGTGGTACTCTCGTGAATGGCGGCGGATGGTGATACATTATTTTTGTTTTCTTTGCACACAAAAAGCATTCAACTGTAGCTTCGTAAAATTACGGTTGAACCACTGATGTCACATGGACTATTTTAACGATGTCCTTACTACCTTTCTGGGCCTTGAACGTGGTAGTTGCGTTGGTGTCTATACAGGTTCAGAAAGCTCTCGGATTTCATCAAAAATATCTTCATTTGTGTTCCAAAGATGAACGAAGGTCTTACAGGTTTTGAAGGACATGAGGGTAGGGCTGGGCGATATAGCTAAAAAAAAAAAAAAAAATAAACGAAATA